GCTGTGTGCACTCCATGCTGTATACATTATTCTTGTGTGTGCTGTGTGCGCTCCATGCTGTATATGGTATTCTTGTGTATGCTGTGTGCACTCCATGCTGTATACGGTATTCTTGTGTGTGCTGTGTGCACTCCATGCTGCATATTGTGAATTGTGAACTACTTCAGCAGTATAGGTTGCTGTTCGACCCTCCGCCTGCTGAAGTGCCCAAGGCAACCGCCTCTTCTGCCTACCCCTTGGCCTGGCCCTGGCTGTGTGTACTGTGTTTGCTGTGTGTTAGGTACTGTGTGCACTGTGTAGCCTCTGTGCTTTGTATGTTTGTGTCCTGTGCGTGGACTGTACATGCTCTGTTCTCTCCGTGCTGTGCATTCTGTGCACCCCGTGTGTGCTGTGTATGTCTGTGTCATGTGTGTGTTGTACATCCTGCATGCAGTGCACCCTGTGTGTGCTGTATATGTTTGTGTCCTGTGTGTGGACTGTACAGGCTCTGTTTTCTCTGTGCTGTATATCTTGTGTGCAGTGTACATCCTATGCCGTGCATTCCGTGCACCCTGTAATGTATGTTTGTGTGCGGTGTACATCCTGTGCTGTGCATTCTGTGCACCCTGTGTGTGCTGTGTAATGTTTGTGCCCTGTGTGCGGTGTACATCCTGTGCTGTGCAGACGGTTCATGTTCTGTTCTCTATGTGCTGTGTACATCCTGTGCTGTGCATTCTGTGCACTCTGTGTGTGCTGTGTATGTTTGCCTCCTGTGCACAGACTATACACGCTCTGTTCTCCCTGTGTTGTGTATCCTGTGTGCAGTGTACATCCTATGCCGTGCATTCCGTGCACCCTGTGTATGCTGTGTATGTTTGTGTCCTGTATGCGGTGTACATCTTGTGCTGTGCATTCTGTGCACCCTGTGTGTGCTATGTATGTTTGTGCCCTGTGTGCGGTGTTCATCCTGTACTCTGCATTCCGTGCACCCTGTGTGTGTGTTGTATATGTTTGCGTCCTGTGTACAGACTATACACGCTCTGTTCTCCCTGTGTTGTGTTCCTGTATGCGGTGTACATTGTACATCTTGTGCTGTGCATTCCGTGCACCCTGTGTGTGCCATGTATGTTTGTGCCCTGTGTGCGGTGTTCATCCTGTGCTCTGCATTCCGTGCACCCTGTGTGTGTGTTGTATATGTTTGCGTCCTGTGTACAGACTTTACACGCTCTGTTCTTCCTGTGCTGTGCATCCCGTGCGTGCTGTGTATGCTGCATCCTCTGTACAGTCTGAGTGCCTGCTCTATGTTTGGTGTTTGTGTGTGCTATAAATGGACCCCTCCCCCCCCCTTCACTTCCTGGGAATGTGACCCCAAATCAGTGGACTCCCGCAGGGGCACAGCGAGTAACATCAGCGTATCCTTAACTAATATGCAGGATAAAGGATATCGCTTGGAAAGGGCTGAACCATTTAAAGATGGAATATCATAGAGAAAATCATCCATTCTAATGGCGCTGCACTTATGTCTGTATTACCGCGGCACGGACAGAAAACGTCGGCGGTGGCGGCGGCTCGGAGCGTGCACAGAAAATCATAAATATGAAATTCTATTGTGAAAATAAATGGATTTTGTTGTGTTATCTGAAAACGGGCGGCACGTGGCTGCAATCTCCCAGGGCCTCATTTAAAATGAATGTTAAGCGTGCGCGTCGTATGAAGCAGCCCACTTACTGCATTTGATTTAAAAAAATGGAATTGTTTTGTTATTATGTCTGAGTTATGTTGTTTAAGTTGATTTTATAAAATATTCACGGTCTCCTTATTGCTCCCCTATTTATTGAGTGCGGTCGCGGCATCTGAATTTTTATTCTAGTCCATTCAAATCTCTCTCTCTCTACAATGTTTTTGTGTCTAATCAGAGAGATTTTATCAAAGCGGCTCGACAATCCCATGCACAAAAAGAGACGGCTCGGAGATTAAAGAGCCCCGGTCAGGGATGGCCATATGTCACAATCAGAATCTTCATATATAACCCAGCCTGGCTTCTTAGGGTTGGCAGTGTGTGCTGTTATTCACTTGTTTTCACTCCTTGTCCTTGTCAACCTGTAAGGCCCCCCCATGGGCTGTTACGGCTGTTACGTGAGACTGTTTTTGGGCTGCTGGAGGAGGGCAAAACTGTCATGTATATAACGCCTCTAGTTTGCTTTTTTTTGTTTTTAAGTGTCTGTTGTCAGCACTGAGCTCAGACAGGGGATAGGAAGGCCTGATATTGCTCTGGCATGGAAAGAATTCAGGTAAACAAAAAAATCAAGTAATCCTTGGAAGGTTAAAGCCCAACTCCGGGCTGCAATATTCACCTTACCTCCAATGCTGTTTCCTGCAATAATAGTGTTTTGGGTGCCGAGTAATGACCCGCCTCCCGGCTTCCTGATTGGCTGGGAAGCCGGTTTCCCTACCAATCACAATTGAGTCGGCCAAACAACATGTAGCCGGATTCCCGGGCAATCAGGAAGCTGGGCAGCATTTCATTACATGCTGCCTGGCTTCCTAACTGCCCGGGAAGCCGGCTTCATGCCAGCGGAAGCCTTGGTATCTGTACCCAGTATCAGCAAGTACTGAAAGCAAAATATCGGTACTCGTACTCGATACCGGAAAAAAAAGGGTATTAGCGCATCCCTAGTTTCAACCTCTGTTGAATTCCGTTCCATTGCATTTTTTTTTTTGCCAGTCTTTATTTTAATTAACAAGTCTTGAGTGGACAAAAATTTGTGCATTTTTTTTAACTTCCGTTGTGTTGCGTTGCAGTTACATCCGTTTTTGTTACATTACGTTATGCTGAGCGTCCTCTACTCTTTTTTATCACACTGCAAGAACAGAACATAGCGGTGTGAACTGGTGCCATTCACAGCAATTCATTTTTCGGTGCCGTTGCATTAGCACCCATTGAAAGTGCAATGTAATGGTTCGGGTGTGAATGGGGCCTAATTCAAGAATGCAAATCCAAAATATTACAGATGCCCATCTGCAGCTGGTTCGCTTTAAAGCTGCAAATCCTTATCTGTTATTCCACATATGTCCCTCTGAATAATAGCTGTTATATTCTGGGCAGTTGTTATAACTTTTACGCTGGCCATACACCCCTGCAGGCCGAACGATAGAAAAAAAATGCTTGTTTTTGGGGGGTTAGGGAAACAGCCCCCCCCCCCCCCCCCCGCGGGCTATTCAGTTTACACCCCCCCCCCCCCCCTGCTGGGCTATTGTATTGAATACCCAAACAGTCATTGTTCAGCCAAGAATTTTTGGACTGGTTCCTTTGACAAAATTCAATTCAGCACCCTGCTAGGAGGGAGAAGCAGGGTGAGCTGCTGGGTCACCGTTGGGAGGAGGAACAGGGTGAACTGAACTGCTGAGTCACTGCTGGGAAAGGGAGCAGGGGAGCTAAGCTGCAAGTACACTGCTGGAAGGGGGAGTAAATGACTTCGCTGCTGCTCCTGTAGACGTTGAGGATTAATTGCTCCACAGTGTCTACAGCTACAAAGGTCAGCGAGGGCTTATTTTTAAACCTCATTTACTGCTAGTTAACAAAATGTAAATTCTTGAGGCTAGGTTCACACCTAGGCGATCCGTGACCGCGCGGCAATCGTGCACCAAACCGTTCGGTCGCGGAGTCGCCCATCACAGCCAATCGCACTGGCGGTGACCGTATTTTCTAATGGTACCCCAGTCCGCGTCGTGTGTCGTGTACCTTTTTTTTCCGCAATTGCCACATGGATGTAACCCCATTGAAATCAATGGGGCCGCGCGGCAACCGGTGTGTGCACTCATCCGGTCCCGGGGCGCGTGTCCCGAGTGTCGCTTAGGTCTGAACCTAGCCTGAATGGTAATAGCCTGGTCACAGGTTCACTTTAAAGTAGATCTAAGTCAGTCAACTCTCTCAGTCAACTTAACATTGCATACCTGTTGTTTATAATTCATAGTGCTTAATCGAACCAAATGTTGTCTAGTTATGGTTTACATCTCCTTTAGGCCTAATTCACACTGCTAAGAGCCGGCCCGTACAGATCCGGGCGGCGTGCGCGGCCTTATCGGGCAGCCCTCGGGAAGGACAGGAGCTTCGTGTGATTGTACGCAGCAGCCTGTTCTTCTCTGTGGGAGTACACGGCCGTACACGGCCGCCCTACGCTCACCCCAAGTGCACGTCCGTGCGGGTGTCTGTACCCGTACGCAGATAGGATGGATCCTGTCTGCGTCCGAGCATGGACACCCGCACGGACGTGCAGTTCGGGTGAGCGTACAGCAGCGTACGGCAGCATACTCCCACAGAGAAGAACAGGCTGCTGCGTACAATCACACGCAGCACCTGTCCATCCCGGGAGCGGCCCGATACGGGCGTGCACGCCGCCCGGATCTGTACGGGCCGGCTCTTAGCAGTGTGAATGAGGCCTAAATGTCAAAAAAACACTGGTGTTTACTTCACATTATAAAGCAATAAACATTTTTGTTCCCCCCCTTTTTTTTTTTTTTGCTGCTTCTTGACTCTGTTGTTGTCATGACCGGAAGTGAGGGGAAATTACTCCAACAGGAACACACAGAGGTAAAACACCTGACAGGAGCATTAGTGCTTCCACATTATATTCAAAACTTTTTAAAAAAATGAAATTTAGCTTAGAGTTTCTATGAAAGAAAAGCCACAGAGAGGATATAGCACATAATACCGGTTGCGTCATACATATGTTATAGTTATTAACTCTCTTCACTAGTTTGCAGTGTGACAAGTGTCTGAAAGAAAAGTATCCTTGCTGCTCATAACAGCCAATTAAAATGCTTCCTTTCCATTCCTAACCCAACCTAGAAGAATGTCAGCTAGGATCTGATTGGTGCATTGTAGCCTTTTGCTTCCGATGCTTTTGTGCCAGAGTTCAGGAATCATCACTCGTGACATCACACATAGGGAAAGGTTCCGCACACGAGGTCCATGTGGATTTGGTGCTTTCAGCGGCCATTTTTGTGTTCTCTCCCAACAGGTTGATGCTGGTGGAGGAGGAGATCAGGAAGGATCACACGCACGAACCAATCGATATGAAGAGGAGACTTATCGAGGCTCAGGTGGAAATTACAATGTCATTGTGCCTTTCCGTGTCACATGCCCATCCCACCCTGTCTGTGTCTGTCATTTGAGGCGGGAGGGGCAGAAGAGAGTGCCAGCACCGAGGGGAAGTGCTGAAAGACATCTAGGGGGTGATTTACTAACCTAAACACACGCACGCACCAGGTGCGTGTGATTTTTACACAGCAAAACGTATTTATCAACCAAAAAGTCTCTAAAAGCATATTTCCACTAATGCCATATATGGAAAAATCATGCACATGATGCATATATAATGCTGCTTCACAGTTTAGACAAAAATGGTTAGCTCATGCATTTACATTCCTGCATTCATCAACGCAAGCAACACAACATAGAACTAATTTACACAACATCACCTTGCAATTCATGCAGGGCTTTGCACAACACACCTGCTGGGTGTGTACACACTACAAAGGTGTTTAGATTCCACTTATAGATCATGCTGGGAGGGAACACACTACAGAGGTGTATACATGTTCGTGGTGTGTTTATAAGGTTAGTAAATCAACCCCCTAGAGTCTGCAGGAGGAGGAAGAAGACCCTGCGTGTTAACACTTTAAGGCCCACAGAATCTGTGTCTGCCTCCTAAGCCTTACATGAAATGTCTTACAGTTTATTGTCTTTCTAAAGCAGCCACAGCCTAAGTAGAAAATGCTGTTCCCTTCCAGCATGCATCTCTGTGTTGAAACAGTGGTCTCTCTGCAGAGGTCAGACACCCCCCTACTGAATTAGACCTATAGCTCTGCAATAACCAAAGCTCATGCTCCTCACTGATTGGAGAGCTCTGACTCAAAAGTGGGCGTTTCAGACCTCTTCATAGAGACCACTGCTCCCCCACAGAGAGCAAGGACCCTTCTCTGCATCATGCTGGCAGGGGACAGACTTTTCCACTCAGGCCGTGGCTGATTTTTTGATGCCCCTAGAATGAACTAAGCACATTTACACTGAAAGTTCAGCTGGGATTTAAAGTGTATATGGTACAGATGCACATACCGGAGTAAGTGCATTCCCTGCACTTAAAGTAAACCTGGGTGTAAATGCATTGCTATGCCTTCAATGGGCCGTGCTATACCATTTGACTGCCAAACTGCCTCTAAGCGCAGAGATATGAAAATGTGGGAATAGGGACTTTCCCCGGCACTGGATTGCATATTTTGGATGACATTATTCATTAGGAAGTGAGGTGGTGGTAGTCGGAGTGGATCCATTTATATATATGAAGAGCGACTCCTGCTCCAGGGAGTATGCAGCAAGCAGGTGGGAGCTAAGCAAGGAAGGATCGATGGGATCTAGAAAAAGGTAGCGTCTGTTGTGATTCATAGTGGAGAATAGGCAAAAACTAAGGAAGGAAAACGAAACCAAGAACAAAAATGTAAAAAGTCCTTGGAAAAAGATTCCAACGATAATGGGCAGCATACGCCGCTAAGAGCATGGGGGGGAACTACAGCAGATGGTGAAAACGGCAGTTCCAAAACTGCCACTGTAGAACCAGAAGGAACCAGAAAATAGTAAACATAGTCTATACCTCACAGGGGTTGGGAATGTACAACACAGTTAATGCAGTGCATGGATTAGGAGCATAACATGCAGCATAGCGTATACAGTGCAATGGTCAGGAGTATATTGTACAACATAATGTATACAGTGCAGAGGTCAGGAGTATATTGTACAACATAATGTATATAGTGCAGAGGTCAGGAGTATATTGTACAACATAATGTATACAGTGCAGAGGTCAGGAGTATAACGCAGGACATTGCATAAACAGAGCAGGAGTATAAAGAACAACATAGAGTATAATGTACAGCATAGTGAATGCAGTGCGGGGATCGGGAGCATAACATACAGCATAGTGTATACCGTGCAATGGCCAGAAGTATAATGTACAACATAATGTACAGAGGTCAGGAGTATAATGTACAACATAGGATATACAGTGCAGGGGTCGGGAGTATAATGTACAACATAGGATATACGGTGCAGGGGTCGGGAGTATAATGTACAACATAGGATATACTGTGCAGGGGTCGGGAGTATAATGTACAACATAGGATATACTGTGCAGGGGTCGGGAGTATAATGTACAACATAGTGGATTCATTGCGGGGACAGGACTATGTAAAATACAGCACTGTGTATAGAGTGCAGTGGTCAGTAACACTGTGCTCCTTGCTGTTGGTCAGTGAGGGAAAATATGCCCCAAAGCTGGTGTAAGAAAGTGTAGTAATAGATCACAATCACCTCTATCCGAAATAGGCTAGCCTTTTTACCGCCACTCACCCCCAGTGACCAGGTGTCTGTGTGGGTGCACAATGTGGGTGATCTGCTTGAGTATCAAAAATAATAAAACAAACTGGAGAATGCTATTCATCCCATAACCAAGAATAACCAAACAAAAACGATACACCTATAGACGTGGTTGCCGTAGGTTAGCAAAAGGCTCATGCGGTGTGGATGCAAAAATGATTTCATATATAAATAGTATAAGAAAAAACATTCCACAAACTGTCATTAAGATTAAACAAACTTTCCACCAATAAAAATAATCTTGTCACCAGCACGTATCTCCCAATGTCCACACCACACATACCACCTACCGCTAATAAGGACTGTTGTCAATCTGCACTCAAGTCCTTCTGCAGCTCAACTAGGACTATCACAAGGCTCTAATAGATCAATCATGGCAGTACATGAGGTCCTGAGATAAGATTAATGGGTAAAGATGATCTGTTATCAAATATCCAACAGGTTTCCGCAAGTTAAAACCTGTGTAGATAATAAAGGTGCTCTATGGTATGACATCACCCCACCACTGAATAGAATGCACTTATCAATGGCTCCTAATAGACTATGTAAGAGCGCAGAAATCAGTGTCCATACATTGCGCTTAATGCCCAGCTCAGATGGTGATGGTGGACGGGATATCTGTTTTGGGTGGGTGGGATTTGCATATGAATAAGCCACAGGATATGCATATGAATGAACAGTGGGCACAATGTAAAATGGCCGGGCTGGGAAGAGGTAGTAACAGACAGACTCGGCAATCCTCACGCTGTGATCCTGCAACACAGCCTTCCAGGGACAGCTACATTAAAAGGGTAACTGTCCCAGCAAAACTGGGTCTGTTTTACTTGTGTTAAAGCTTTGTGAATTGGGCACTTATAAATTATATTGCAGCCACTGTAGCCTAGATAAATTGAGCCTTATAGGTATCACATGTCTATAGGAATACTGGATACTAAATATATATTTTTTTGAAATGAGGTTGCAGGTTTTTAAAGTGAACCTGTTCTTTGTCCTTGCCAAGCTAAAGCAAACATTACCTTTAATTGTGGCCATGCCAGTTGCTTGTACCTAACATCCCTTCACTCCGCTGCTGCTTTCTTTAGCTGCTGTAAGTGAAGAGAAATACCTACTACTTTAAGGTATGGGAAGCCAGGGATTCGTTTCCCCCACATCCTTGCCCACTTGGGCACCCAGCACTATCACTTGGGGTGCAGTAAAAGAGTCCCCCAGCCCTGTGTAAGCTCCCAGGCAAAGCAACTCATAATACAAGGCTTCATTTCCTCACTCCAGGGGACCAAACAGTATGGCGAGGAGCACAGGGAAGAGAGAAATAAGCAACTGCAGGGGTCAGGATGAGACTGACATGGACATTACTTGATAGTTGATAGGTTGATTGGTGCTGCAGCCCAGAAAACATCTGCATCTGCTGTGTAGTTATGACAGGTGCATATTAGGACATGGTAAGTACAGAAAGTATCATTATATCACCTGTCTTGTGTCTTTACAATGCCATTATCATCGTTTGGATAGTTACACTGTTGTTGTGTTGATTTGTAAAATGTATTAATGCTGGATTTCTTTAGTTCCTGAGAAGAGGAACTTTACCCCAACAGATATTTTTTTTTTCATTTTGGGTGACATATCCAGAATTCACCAAGTCTTTGTAGGTGTTTGGGATCTTGGCATTTTGCTATCCCTCCTTCCATCCACTCGATGGTTATTAGAACAAGCATGGAAATTTAAATCTAGCTTTTGGTGTCATCTTCTAAAGTGAGTTCTCCATTTACACTATATAGCCAAAAGTTTGTTGACACCTGACCATTACACCTATATGAGACGGCTGAACGTATCAGTTCAATGCCATATTCATTAATACGAAGTTGGTCCCCTTTAGTGGCTATAACATCTTCCACTCTTTTGGGAAGGCTTTCCACAAGAAATTGGAGTGTGTTTGTGGAAATGTTACATGGTAGAAAAGTCACTCGCACTCCAATGAGAATTTCAGTCAATGTTCTTTATTGACAAAAGAATTGTCATGTCGTTTACATCGCATCACATAGCACTCCTGACAGGATATGACCCAAGATAATGGGTGGCTGCTGAGATGACAGCAGATGCCTCTGCAGATCAGAATCACGTAGTAGAAAAGTCACTCGCATTACCCTTGTGGTAACAGTTTGCTGAAGGCCTTCTTCTGTGTCCCCCGTGCACAAAACCAGCTCCATAAAGACATGGTTTGAGGAATTTGGTGTGGAGGAACTCAACTGGCCTCTACAGAGCCCTGACCACAACCCTACTGAACACCCTTGGGATGAATTGGAACACCAATTGTGAGCCAGGTCTTATGCAACATCAGTACCTGACCTCAAAGATGCTCCTTTGGCTGAATGGGAAAATATTTCCACAAATAATTCAAGCAGATCCCATCGCACTCCTGACAGGATATCCCAAGATAATGGGTGGGTGCTGAAATGACAGCAGATCCCATTTCAGATCAGTATCACATTGTAGAAAAGTCACTCGCACTCCAATGAGAATTTCAGTCAATGTTCTTTACTGACAAAAGAATTGTCACATCATATAGCAAGGTTTCAGAACTGTATAGGTCCCTTCTTCAGGCAAACAAAGTGTAACATTCAAAACAACAGTGCAGGTATATATACAGCAGTGAAACACCAAAAAACAATCAAAA